AGTGAAGAGGCAAATACAGTTGTTTTTCGTTGCTTAGAATTTTTAAAAAAATTTTACTGTGTAATTATTCATGAAAAGTAGATGGCTTATAACTTGCGCTCCCGTACAATTCGCGAGGAATTGCTTGAGGAGTCCGAAGGACAGCCAATTCGATGGCGAATATTTTTCGGCATACTATATAGACCAAGCCGCAGTCAATGCACGAATTTTGCTTAAATGGAAAAATAGCATGCGAGGAGACACCAGTAACGTGACGGCAGAGTCGTGCCTTAATTAAATATAATTACATTTGATCAAGGCACACCTGCAAGAACGATACACAATATCAACAATTCGCAAGGACGTCAAATGCGGTATTGCGAATATCCTGCACCTCCAGGACAGGCCTGCATTTGGAGAGGACCGCCCAAAATTGGATAGACAAAAAAAAATGTAAAATTTGCCCGAAAGAAACTGATAAAAAGACGAGCTCCATGTGTCCCACTTGCCTTCGACCGATGTGCGACAAGCATCGGGCATATTTATGCGTTGAATGTGCCATGCCTATGACATCGAATAAAAAAATGTAACTTTTTCATTTACTTAAAGTATGTAATTTGCAACGTAAATATATTTTTTTCATATTTTTTAAACCATTTTTCATAAATATATTGCTATTTTTTCCATAAAAATGTCCTTTTTATTTTTCCGCAAAAAATCGCACCTTTATACCTCAAAATAAATATACTTTTTGGAACGGTCGCATAAACTGCAATAATCAGTGAAAAGTGCATCATCTGAGGATGAAAAAACCGTTTAAAAAATTAAAATATCTTAAAAATTGAAAAAGTTACATTAGTTTTTGTGAAAAATGGCACTTTTCCGACTTTTTTTTTTCAACAATTTTTTTACATATGTTAAATTAATTTTTTGCAAATCAAACCTATACAGTTTTTTTAAGGAAGACTTAAACTACTACAGAATATTTTTTTTTTAAGGTTCATCTACAATTTTTTATACACGTGCAAACACGCTGGGGTGTATTTCACCCAGTGTGACCGGTACGGGATTCTCGGGAAGTGTGACTCATTAGGGTTAAGCAATCGCATTCGCAATGAAGGACTACGCATCGAGGCGACAGTAATCCGTTGCACTTATGCTGATATGGTCGAGTCGAACACAAACGTCAAGCGCGCGTGGCACTGCCTTTGTTTCGAAGAACCCCGATTAAAGATTCCCCGAACGCGTTCCCGTAATTTAACGACGCCTTTAACAGCACCTACCTCGAAAAACAGGCCAAACAAAATAGTCGTTGTAATGATAACCCTGATACGCTTCGCTTGTCGTCCCAAGAACCGGCTGATAAGCCAACGAGGCGCGATTAAGACAATTGTTAACGTTTTGCCGACACCTAGCTCGCTAACGAGTGACTCATCAATTGGCAACTATAAAAAAAAAGAGCGAAATCTATTCCAAATAAAGGAATCACGTTTCTTGAAAAGTACACATGAATGTTTTATCCTTTTCTAGCCCTTGTGCAATCATTCTCTTTAATCTAATCTTACTTTTCTATGAACGATACTATGTACGTAGGTAATAAAATACAAGTAATGAATTTTTTAAACCATATATGTATCTTCTTAGAATACGTTCAAAAATTCTCGAATATCTTGTGTGGTGAGGAAGTCTCATTATGAGATTGAAAGCTATCCCTTTTTTCCAATCTTTTGGGAAAATGCAAAGATTAAGAATCATAAGAACACGCGATTTCCTCTTGCAATTGCGGCGGCCGCGCTCTTCCGAAAGTCAAACTGCGGCACATCTGGGACGCGTCATCGGTGAACAGATGCGGAGCGGTGCATACCGCGGCGAGTGAACTCTTCCACGAAGGAGATTCGATTGGCCGTTCGCGGAATCTTCTACCTACGCACCTCGCTCGATCGCGTAACGCAGAAGACAGAGAGAGAGAGAGAGAAAGAGAGAGAACGAAAGAGGTCGGGTCGTATCAATTTTCCTGGCTGGCAATTTTCCGCGAAGCGATTGCTTTCTCAGCTCATGTAAGGAATTTATTCATTAATCCGGTCCCAAGGCACGCGAGGAAAAGCGTTTACTCTCGATTATTCTTATACTTGCATGATCTTTCTCTTCATTTTGCACAAAGTACGTTCGACACAAATGTATAGGACCAATGTAAATATACAGGATTTATAGAATCAATATAAAACAGAAAAAAATTCCAACGGTATACATGTTTGACTTTTTTTTAGTTAGTAGCTATATAAAGATATATATAAGTATAAGATATAAATATGTCATTGAATTACTGGATAAGTGAATCTATAAAAATCGGTTTTTTACGAACGAATTTACCAAATACAAATATACGCGATAAATTGTTTTAACTAGAAAATGTTTCAACGCTATATTCTTCAAACCTGTAAATTTTCTGATCTGTAAGATCATCTTTGATGTAGATTGATTGTAATGACTGAAAAGTATTTCGACGGCGCGGATAAAGTGTGAAGAGATAAAGAATTGAGCGGCCAACTTCAACGTGTGTACAAAGAGCTAAACGTCGCCGGTTTGGAATTCTCTCGGACGACTTCCGGCAAATTGCTGGACGAACTGGAAGTTGGTTATATCGACAGACGGAACGAGGAAGAACGGCGACGACGACGCCGCGGTGCACGAATGGTACGAATGGCACGAATGCGTGTTAAATCGAGGGGTTTATGAGCCGTTAGACGACCGGAAGTGAGGTCACTTCTATGATGAATATTAACTCGGCAATTCGCCCTCGTCGTTCGCGAAAAGACGCCCCGGCGAAATATTTCCAAAAAACGACGTTTTCCAACTGAATTCTAACACGTTATCACGACGATTTTCCGTGATAATTTTGTCTTGTAGAATCAATAAAGTGAGTAATCCCCCTGAATTTCTTACTCATCTCTCCCTCTTCCCCATACACATTTATGGAAATTGTTTTTAATTATAATAAAATTAAAAATTTATTTGAAAAATATATTAATTAAAAATTAAAAATTGACTTTGAAAAATATATAAATATATTTATATATTTATATCTCGTATTTGTGTGTATGTGTAATAATACATGAATGTATTAGCGTAAAGTGTGTATAATTAAATGTGTAATTAAATTAATGACGTAAAATTTATATTTTCCATGTTTTAAGCTTTATAATGCATATAAGTATTTAAAAAATTCACGAATATTGTGAACACATTAAGGACAATTAAGGAAAAAATTAATAGACATTGTAAATATTCATCAACATTTAACAATTTCAATAAATGTATAGTGAATGTTATTCTTCTGCTTCCCTGACTTTTCTATTCAAATCCCAAAAATTTGATGACCATTCCCGAAATAAATGATTCGTGTCTCCGGTCGGGAAATGCAGTTCCGATGTCATAAAACTCGAGGTGGCTCTATAATACAACACTTTTAAAGGCCCAGCCTGCCGTGCCGTGACCGAAAACACGCGCTGGAAAAGCGACTGACTGCCCGGAACTGATCAAATCCTACAGATAGGGGGATTTAATTGAAATTTCGGATCGATACATTCGCGGGCGTTCGATACGCACCCGCTGTGTTATCTCGCGTTATCGCGAGCTGGGATAAACGCGACGGCGACGAAATCTTTTTTATTTGAGAAAAAAAATTGATTTTTGATAAATTATTTCTCAGTATTTCGTTTTATCTCGTATTATCTTTTACTATCTTAAATCTATCGCTCGTGCCGTTTCTCGACGATCCATACATATGTTTTCTTTACACCGTAAGGTTGAAAAACAGAAGAAAAAAACAGGAAATAAAGGCGATTATATATTGTTTATAAAATAAACTCAACGTTCATCCTCTATATGTATATTCAGATCTCGACAACTTTTATCCGAATTCGTATTGTGCGACGAAAGAAACGTTCGTATATAAAACGGTAAGAGAGATTTTTTCCAGAATAACAAAGGTTCCGGACGCTGAAAAAGATCCGGAAAGAATCGCAGGGGGGTCTTCTCTCCCGTACGAGCCGATATTGTATCCCTGGCGGGATCTCGACATGACAGTATCATGATGACGAGGCTCTTTGACACGAATATCGAAAGCGAGTATCGTTTTGTCGGCGATTGACGTTTTGCAACGCTTTTTGCGACAACTCGTCCCCGATCGGTCAGTACCCTCCTCCGCGTCCGCCCTGCCCCCCTTTATTTTGAATGGGAGCGTCAAAGGCGGATCTTCGTGTGATCATCCGAATTTTGTGCTCTTTTTTTCGATCGCTGCAGCGATAGCGGATCCAATCGAACGCGTGCAGTTTTCCGATTGATGCATTCCTCTTTTCGTTGTTGTTATTGTAAACGTTTAAAAAAATCCGATTACTCCTCCGATTGTAAATATAATCGTTAGATATCTCTTGAAAAATTCGATGATATAGAAAGGAATTTTAGAAAGATACATTGAATATAAGTTGCGCCCCTATAGAATTTCAAGCGAATAAAATCCTGTAATACAAAAATTAATCTTTTGAACATACATATTATACTATTTAATTAAATGTATATTTATATTATTTGATCTTTTAAATAATATAAAACATTTTAAAGCTGAATATATAACGAAACAAATCAATGGAAAGTTTATGTTTATGCTGTAATAAAGTCATATTAATTCAATTTTAGTAATCTCTCTATCACGTCGATTAGACTAATCTAGAAGAAATCGTCTCATAAATATATCGATTTTTAATTAAGATACTTGGCTGCAATTGCATATGCAAATTATACAGCGATACAGGAGAGGTACCTGCGTATTATAATATTTCAATCACTCTCCGCGAATGACTCCTTTGATGTCGATCTTACTATTCATCGTTATCTTGTTCTCGTTCCACGCGACGTATTTCTATTAAATGTCGAATGGAGGTACGGTAAGGATCCTCCTTTGAGCTCCCAATGTAGGCTGATGGATGAATCCCATCAGGTTTATCCTAGGATATCCTACTTACCGAGTACAGAGAGAGTGATGTCGCCCTCCAAAGTGGTTGTGTCGTTACGTGCCTGGCAGGAGTACCGTCCCGCATCCGAGGCTCTCATCTCCTGCGTGTAGATCGTTTGATTCGCGCTCTCGGGATACAGGATAAAGTGGCTCTCGCCACCCGGCCAAGGGTAAGCCCTGTTGTCCTTGTACCTGGGACAGAAGTAACATAAACGTATTATTATGGTTACGAGCAAATGATCTCCACTGCTTGTCTGCCCGGGGTAAAAATGTTAAAAATAAATACACAGGAGGGTGTTAAGAGATCGACACATCGGGCTTTTCTTAAATGCTGTTCGATATTTTAGGAGTTGAGTTTCTGAAGAAAAGTTCATATAAACAATATGGGCTCAAAGGCCTTTTCGGAAATACGAGGTGTTGAAAATTCTAAAAAATTATCGTTTCTTCTGCTAAACGAAAGACGGTTTCACTTTCTATACCTTCGATAATACGAGCAATGATAAATTTACACATTACGCAAAATAATATAAGAAAAGAACAGAAAACATTTCTAGATACAAAGCTTTATCTTTTAACTCATTTCTTTCATTTTTTCAGTTCGTTGTTAAAGACAAGTTATATTTTTTCATTAAAAACATTTTTTTCTTTTTGAGGAGCGTTTATCGAGTGAATATTTTGAAAATTGACGAAAGAAAGACAACGGGCAGGATATTTTTCAAGAAACAATAATTTTTCGCGAAGAAACGGCGGCCGATCGTCTTGAAACGCGTCGCACTCAAGAACAAGCCCGATATTTCCGGGACGGGAATATCGATGGCTGTTCTTGAGAGCATTCGTTCCGCCGTAAAGATAAAAGTCGAGAGAACGAGCGCTCCTCGACAAACACTCGAAGTAAGGAAGAATCAGGAGCATTGAACCGTACGTGAAAATAAATCGTCTACTACGCCACCGCCGCGTTGCCGCCACCACCGCCGCAATGGCTTCGTTAATTTGTCGTTGCTGCTATTGCATTGCCTTTCCATTGTGTGCTGCCAATAATATCGTTAATAGTAATAGCAACGTAAAATACTCATTATTAGAGAATAGCTCAATAATAGCGATAACAAATGCAATGTAGCAATGAAGTATAATAATGGTTTATATACAATAATGCTAGAGAATATAATAATAGAAGCATAATATGTAATTGAATATTATAACAATACCTAATATACAGCCGTTATAATCGCGTCATTATACTCTTATCGTCAATATCTCGTAAAAACAACAATTTATTTTACAATAGTTCTTGTCCCACTTTCCAACGGGCGCGAATAAACTTCAGCTCCAATTTTTTTTTCTTCCGCGAGGACTATTTTTATCGTAATTTTCTAATTCGGCACCTGCGCTCCACGCGTTGAACGATCCCGTTACGAGAGAGCAAAGTTTTCTCTCGTCCTTCAGGTAGAGATCAAGGATTCAACGACGTTCCCACGAGAGGGAAAGAAAGTCTCTCTCCACATAAATCAATTTCTAGGGCACTACGCAAATCCACTTTCGTTTTGCCGGCGGATCAAAGAGACATCACGCGTGGATCCTGCGAATTTGACTTACACCGGAAGTTTCTACCCTTGCTTCCTCCGAGAGGTAGTTGCATGGAAAAAGGGGATTTCTTATTCCCTAATTCTCTTCGATTTCTTAAGCGATGATTTTATTTCTCTGTTCTGCTGCGCAGCAATCATTAATTTCCCGCATAAGGATATTCCCTTGCATCCTTGAATTCTTGCTCCTGGATACTTGAAAAAAATCAGACCATCCCCCTTATGTCAATACCATGAATGTGCGATTCGATCGAGGATTCGATAAATTTTGGAATTCGCATGCAAATTCTGGGGATCAAAATTTTTCTTGCAGATACCTATCAATTTTTACTTCAGATTTAAATTTAATTGTAAAATAAGTTTTGATTGCCCTCTCCTCCTTTAGTCAGAAAAGCACATTCATAGTTTTAGCGAAGGATAATATGTTCTTGATTCTTGTTATTAATCTGATATCATCTAAGATCTTCAACTATAAATCTCAGAAGATAAATTTCAGGTATTAAAACCGCAAATATTTTGCGACTCCTATATCAATCTTTGACTTTTTGCGTTTTTATATTTATATCTGCCTTAAATTCTTGGGCTCTTTCTGGGTTACTAAATCCTTGGTCCATGGATTCTCGTATTTGAGATCCTTGATATCAAAGCTCAGAGTTTAATAAAAATTTTCAATCTTGAATCCTCAATCCTTGGATTCTACTTAAAGATGTATGTTAGATAGCTATATGTAGTATAATTTGTGTTTTCTTGATTAAACATTGCAGTGTAGAGCTAATCTCAGAAATTATTCATAAACAACATGGTATCATTGGGACAGAAAAAGCGTAAAAATCGCAATTTTGTCCCATTTTCGTACTTGATATTGTTTAAATAAATCATTAAAAAATTGAATAAAAAATATAACCAGAAAATCTTAAAAAACCGTAATTGCAATTCTCGATGTCATAGAAGTGTACCATAAAAATTTCATTCATTTTTACCGTACATGAGTAGAGATACATATTATGATATTTACATGGGAAGTATATCTATATATATACAATTTCTGTAACTTTTAAAGCAAATATCTCAGAAACGGGTCAGGTAATCGATCGCAAATTTTACACAGGTTTTTGGGATATATAAGTGCACAATCTCTGTAAATTTCAGCTTTATATCCTGTTATTCATGTTATTTTGACATAATAAGTGACATACATCTTTAAGTATTTATTCTTTCTCATGCCCCTTTCTCTCAATCATCTATTAACAAAACTATCCTTAACAAAGATATCTTCTTGGCAGCAGATTCTCACGCAAAGAAATCATCAGCCCCCATCATATTCATGAAATTTTCACAGGCGGCAATCTTACCATCGTCGCGACGTCGTAAATAAAACATTTTTAATAAGCTGAACGACTCATCCTCATTCCCGAAGGAGTGACAGGACGATCGGCAATTTCGCCGTCACCATTAAAGATTCCTTTATTAAAGCTCTTCCTGCATCGACAGGATTTCTTTTACGAGCTACTGTTACGGGCGTACTTTGAATAAGAATTTTTAATAAAGAGCGCTTTCCACCCCTCCTTCCTGCTGGATCGGTCGCTCGTCCCTTTTCGCCAGGATAATTCCGAACTGGTTCGGATTCTAACGAGGATTCCGGTGCTACATAGCGGAACTTCCGAAGACTAATAAAGACACCGAAACATTGGAGGATCCGAGGACACTGAAAGTTCAGGACTCGGAGAAGATTCCGGTAACGCGAAGATCGAAAGACGTCAAGATATGAAAAGAACAAGATCCTTAAGTTTCGAAAGGATTAACCGAAGCAGAAAACTGGCAATACAAAAGTTTTAAAATTAGAAAAGAGACAAAACCGTAAGGTTACTCCGGAATAAATGAATTGCAATTAATGTATCTCTTTCTCACTGATACGAGAAATTCAATTTATAAACTTTAGATCTAGAAATGTAAGGACCGCGAATAGATTATTTAAATTATAGATTCGTTAGATAATTGAACCTTGCACTTCGAATGCTCGATTTTTATATTTAGAATTTTTTACTCTTTCGATTTCAAATTGAATTTCTCTAGATTCCTATAATTGTCCGATTGGCTTAAGATGTCAAATAAATTTTCGTTAATAGGCTCTCTCCCTGATGAAAGTGAAACAGAAAAAGAATCTAATTGTGAGATACAAGAGTTCCATAAATATGAGAACCGCTGAAAGTGCTCGGTTATAATTTGCAGCAAGCGATTTGCAAAAATGATCGTTTAATTATTATTGTATTCGAGCGTGTGGCATGCTGTTATCGGATCGCGAATTATACTCGGTCGTTAAACCTCATTTCCAATATGGAGCCGTGCATTCTGAAAATGTTCAGGGATCACTGGGTGTCCTTAATAACCTGAAACACGGTCGACTCGCGTAATTAACGCCAATTTTATTTCAATGAATTCGTCTGGCATATTTGTTAAATAATTGCTGGCTCCTCTCTCGCATTTTGCATCCATTTTGATGAATTAATTAATAATATATTATCAATAAAACAAATAGGCACACTGTGACATAAAATTTAATTAAGATAATAATGAACGCTACAAATAAAGAACGCTAATGAAACTTTAATTAAATAGCGGTGAAAACAAACGCTGACACAATCGAGAATAACAATAGGAATGAGAAAAATTTACTTAAATAAATCTAAGTATAAATGAGAATTTCGGTGTATCGCTAATTACCTTATTCTTAATCCAAAGAAACATTGTTTTGAGAAGTGGAACAAAAAGAAACTGACTCTGTATTAATAATAAATTCAATGCGTTTTTGTTATCAATTTAAATTACATTTATCTATGTCGTTCTTAAGATATTATGATCAAAATTATAATTAAAAATGCAAATGTTATTAGTTCGTTCTATTTCTGTTAATTATTACACGCGCGCTTGTATTTCAACTTAGTTCCAAAATAATAACTGCAATGTTTACGTACATACATCTGTTAAATATCAATATCTCGTTTCAGTTACCAAATTAATGAGAATATAATTTACGTCTGTAACTTTAACATAACAAAAATTTCTATTAGAAATTCGTGTTCGGAATTCCGACGACGCGCGTGCGTCCTTCGCAAAATAATTGCTCGTTATTCTCGTCGCGTAAAAATCGCGTCAGCAAAATGGCCTCTATCCGTTTGATCGTACTCACGAAATGGGATACCTGTCTTTTTCGCCGGCTGGCTCATTGTTACAATAATTGGCTGTTATCCTTTGTCCTCTCGGGAAAAAAAATCACAGCAAACCAAAGTCCGCCGTCGCGTGCAGTTATTTATTTACATCGAGCAGGTGCAAAATCCGTTTTTTTTTTGTCACCGGACACAAAATAGACCTTACCTCGTTTACATTTCGCGATTTGCAATTACGAGTCGAGTTACGCGAATAACAGTAGTAGGTTCACCAAATAAACCGTGTTAACGTACTCAGTCGGTTGTACATAAAGTATGCTGATTAAACATGTTTGCCAGACATGTTGAAATCTGCTTTCAACTTTTATCGGCTCGACGATTCGAGGATCAAAATAAAATTTCGCGTTAAAAATCCACAAATCGTGAAAGCGTTTTAATGAGAGTCAAG